AAAAAAAGATTCTCTTTAACTTTTGACAGTTTAATTATAATGTGTCTTGGTGTGTGTCTTTTTGAATTCATCATTTTTGCAACTTTATGGATGTCTGTTTTCTCTTCCGGTTAGGGAAATTTTTAGCCATTTTCTTCCATTAATCTTTCTGCCACTTTTATTCTCTTTATTCTCTCCTTCTGGGACCCTTATCATGTGAGTTTATAGTCTACTTTATGGTGTCCCATAAGGCCCTTAAGCTGTCTCCACTTTTTTTACACTTCTCTGGATGACTTTCACTGCCATGTCTTTGAGTTTGCTGATCTTTCCTTCCAGTTGATCTAGTGTGCTTTTGTACCTTTGGATTGAAGTTTTCAGTTCAGTTATTGTATTCTTCAGCTCTGTGATCTTTCTTTATGATACTTTCTTATTTTTTTGTCTCTGTTGAAATTTTCACTTTATTCATGCATTGTTCTCCTGGCCTCAGTGAGCATCTTTATGACTGTCATTTTGAACTCTCTGTCTAGTAAATCATGTATCTCTGTTTCATTAAGGTCTGTTTCTGGAGTTTTATTTTATTTTTTATTTTTGTTTGAAACATATTTCCTTGTTTCTTCATTTTCCTTGACTCTCTGTGTTGGTAAACACAGCCACTCTCCCACTCTTGATGGAGTGATCTAGTGTAGGAGATGAACCTTACCAATCAGCCTGGCCTGAGCTCTTGGTTGTCTCTCAAACTTTTGTGATTGTCCAAACTGCCTTTTTTGTTCTTAGTGGCTGGCTGCCAGTAGCTGAGGTTGTACTAATATTTGTCATGTATTTCAAAGTGGAGGATCACAGTGAGCACCTAGATGAAGGCTCATGGGAAGCTGGGCTCCCAGGCAGCAGCCGTGAAAGTATATAGTTAGGGCCCTTCAGGGAGAAATTCGGAGATGGGCTTTTTTTTACCTGCTCCCTCTGTGTTGGACTTAGGTATATTGCTGCAGAAGTAGTTGCCCTGTACCTATTAAGAACTGCTTCATTATTTGCTTCATTCCTGTGGGACTTGTGGATGTAAGTCTTGTTCATTTTCAGAGGCAAGCTATATAGGCAGGGGCCCATCACTTTGGCAGCATGTACAAAAGCTGGGGCACTAGATGTGTGTACAAGCTGAATCAGTGGAGATACTGGAACTTTGGAGTGAGCTAGAGGTAGAGGATGGAGGTTGTGTCTGCTAGCTTCCTTGGTCTCCTGGAGGGATTACAGTCAGCCTCTAGATATCTGCTAAAATAGAAGCCTGACCATTAGACAGCAGTTTTTAAAGTAGGCAGATAGACTTCTTTCAGGAAAAACCTGAGAGATAAGTGATTATGATTGCTCTGTGTGTGCTAATCCCTGCTGGGATAGATTCCTTTTGTAAGTCTCATGGTAATAAAAAACAGAGACCTATTAAAATTCCAATGGTCTTTTTCACAGAAATAGAACAAACAATCTTAAAATCTGTATGGAACCACAAAGTACTCTGAATAATCAGAATAATCTCAGTAAAGAACAACAAAGCTGGAGGTACCATACTTCCTAATTTCAAACTATATTCCAAAGCTGTTATAATCAAAACAGTATTGTATTGGCATAAAAACATAGATCAGTGAAATAGAATAGCGAGTTTAGAAA